TATGTACAACTGCCCCAGGCAAAATTTCCTGTACCTAGACAATCAGCTAGCAGGAGTGCAGCAAGGATCTTCTCAGAGAATGATCCCTGTGTTCACCTATAGAAAAGTGATAGAGGACCTTGAAACAGGAGAGAAACTGTCCAAGGAATGCTTTTCAGAGGGTCCTTTCCAGCTGACGTTGTTAATCCAGCTTCTCCATTTGCCCCAAACTTCTGGAGACTTCTCCAATCCCAAAGTGAACACAACAGCCACCGTTTTGACTTGCTTGTCCAGCTTTTTATCTTTTTCCTGACAATCATGAGATTTAGATGTCTACAAGACACATGCAATAGTTTCTTACTTGGATAAAAAGGGGTGAGGGTCTTATGCATGATTGCAGAGATAAACAGGGGCATACATATTTTAGCATTTTAGGTTAGACCAGGAGTGCAAAACACACCTTCAAGATGTCCCCTCTTACATTGCTTCAGTTTGCATCTGGCGAGGCAGGCTTGGACTTCACAAAGTGCATTTTTTGATTTTAGATGAGTGTAAACCTTTGCAATACAGACGGACATCTAGTCTGTTCTGCTTGCGAGTGTTTGGTCTATTGGCCCAGAGAGCTAGTGTGAAGACAGAAGAAAAATAAAATAAAGATATGGATAGACTAGACATAAGGTCTTCAGCACCATTTCACTCTACATATTCACTTCTATTGTCTCATCACTTACTACTACTGACATAAGCTTGGGTGTATAGGGACCTTCCAACATCTCAATCTCTGTGGCTTCTAAATGGAGATGTAAAGTGAGTTTTATGATGAAGTAGGTGAATGAAGAGCTGCACTTCATGGATGGCTAACTCAGGCAGATGGATCCATGCCCCAGGCTGCAAAACAGTGACTAGTAAGCTACAATGGTATGTGGGAGATAAGTGAGATGGGATGGTGCACTGGAAAATTTAAAAAAAAGAAAAAGAAAAAGAACAAAGGAAAAGGAAAAAAGTGAGGCAGAAGGTGCTGCCACATTCCCTGCTCCATCTGCTGGATATAGCTTGTCATGTTCATCCAGAAAACCGTACTGCAGTAATCCTCTACTGGCTTGTTACCAAAGTTGCTTTCTCCAATTAATTATTTGGCAGTAGTGAGCTGCATCGTTGTTGTAAACACATCTGAGCTCTGATTTCTTTCTGTTCAGTGTTTTGAGTAGCTTCAATTAGGCTTTTAGGTGTAATAGGATAATACAGGAGCTGCTATTTTGTTATCAAGTGATATGATCCAGCTCCATAATTAGAAGTATGTATGCATTACCTTAGGAAGATGCAGTTTGCTGCACTGAGTTAGGGGTAGTAACTCCTCAAGGTTTATTCTGCACCCATTTCCTTTCCCTGCTTGGATTCTCATCCTAGTCCTCTTTTGTCTCAGCTTTCACAATTGCTCTCTTTACAGTTTCTTCTCTAGAAAAAAGGAACTTAAATCTTAATAGTCTCAATTGTTACCAGCAACCATAGTTTTGGTAGTGCCCTTTTCTAGAGTTTTAAGGAAACCTGTCATGTCAGAATGCAAGTATTAAAATACTCTAATTCAAATGAAAGGATGGTATTTGTTCATGAGATTTAGTTTATAATGCTGGATATTAACAGGAATGCAGTGGCATTGTAAGTTCCAGGTATTGATGGAAAGGTCAATTCAAAATTTAGTAACATTCCAAAAGAACAAAGAAAATCCCAGAGAGAAAATGAATTGATAGGGTCTAAGGAAGCAAAGTTCATTATTTGATATATGAGCACCAGAGGACACTCTGAGATAAATATGTAAAAATTAACTGGGTCATTGAAGGAAACATCTGTACATACTATTATTTAAATGCTCGCAGCAATTGTCCTGAAACAGGATGCAAATAAACCAAATTCCCAAGCCTGCCTGACTGTATAACCCACCAGCGTTGATCATCCTAATGCAGATACAAGGTGTTACATGTGCAGAGAGCTGTAGAATGGAAAAAAAAAATGACAGGGTCAAAGATATCACAAAGATTTCAGATCACAAAAGTGTCGTATCTACCACACTACAGTCAAACAACCTGCAAAGAAATAAATTTTTAAAAAAATAAATTAAAAAATAAAAATCTGAGCACACTGGAGCCAGATGACTCATGAATTTTGTAGGAGGCAGAGTACAATGTAGACAAAATCTGTCTGAACCACCATGACAGTTGCTAAAATAGAACTGTAGAGTGATGCTGTAGTAGCATGGATCTATGATATAAAGTAAATAAACTGATTTGGATTATACTCTATGGCATCTTTAATATCGTTTTACTCATTTTAAATACTCTATTCTTGTTTAGGTATACAAGGCTTCTACCTCTTCCATGACCCAAGAAGACAAGGGAGAAGGAAAACTCAGCTAGGGACTGGTTGGAATTATTTTGGATATTGCAGTCTCAATAGTCTAAGGCAACATTTGCAGCAACCCTAAAAAAACGTTTTCAGCTCAGCCCTCAGGAACCTCAGTGGTGTTACCCAGCATACCAGCACAGCCAGCGATCCATGGCCTCCAAAACACCCACGCTCTGAACAAACCAAGTCACTCTTCCCTGCAAACTAGAAGTGTGACAGCTTTCATAAAAGCTACACTTCTATGTAAATACAAAGAGAAATACATAGGCATGTAGAATAAATACCATTTTGGTTTTATAAAAACAAACACATACTGACAAGTACAATTCAGTGACACAACACAAGTGCCATTTGAAGAGCTTTGCCAGTAGGTGGTGACATATAATTATTTATTAACAGTGTTCTGGCTGCAAAAGATTCATAGAATACTTTGGGTTGGAAGGGACCTTTCAAGGTCATCTAGTCCAACCCCCCTGCAGTCTGCAGAGCTATCTTCAACTACAGCAGGTTGCTCACAGCCCTGTCCAACCTGACCTGGAATGTTCTGAGGGAAGGGGCATCGTCCACCTCTCTGGGCAATCTGAACCAGTGTCTCATCACCCTCAATGTAAAAAATTTCTTTTTTCTCTCCAGTCTAAATCTCCCTCTTTTAGTTTAAAACCATCACTCCTTGTCCTATCGCAATAGGCTCTGCTAAAACCTGTCCCCATCTTTCTGATAGAAGGCCACAATGAAGTGTCCCCAGAGGCTTCTCCTCTCCAGCCTGAACAAGACAAACTTTCTCAGCCTAGCCTCCCAGCAGAGGGTTTCCAGCCCTCAGACAATTTTTGTGGCCCTCCTCTGGACCTGACTCTTAGTGCAGCTCTGAGCCACTGCACTGTGCAACTTTTTGTTTAGGCTTTCCTTTCCTATTGCTCCACCATCCTGAGGTATCTTTTACATGTTTCATAGCTGCAGCTGCATCTTCTGGCTATAGCACATCAGACTGCGTCTGCTCTGTGAACTGCAGGGCTGCCTTCACACTGCTGAGCTCTGGGGTTTTGATCTGTTTTCAGTGGTTTTAATCTGTTGATGGAAGATATTAACTCTGTTCTCACAACATGCACAAGAGAAAAAAACCTCAATCATTTCTTTATAAGGTGTACCTCTTATTTACTTCAGGTGAATAAATAGGGTTTATAGTTAGCTGCATGCAAATTTGCTATTTACTTCCAAATGTAATCAGCAGTCTCTCCTAACTCCATCACACCCTTCTGTGCACCAGTTATGAAGCCATCAGTAACCCTCAAAAAAACAACTCAGCTCAGCTTGGCCTATCTTTTGTTGTCTGTTTAAATGCCACGTGTAGGTGATGACTAATGAAAGCCATGTAGCTAAAACACATGAGAAGAACATGGGCTTTGGTTTGGGGTTAATGTGGGGTCAAGTGAGTTCTTTCCAAGCAGCTTTAGGAAGCAAGCCAAAAGGCTTCAGGAATCACCGCAGAAGGGAGCTGGGCTTGTTTGCTTTATGGGAACAGTATTGGCTCCTTGGAGGCCACAACCAAACATACTTCACTGGCTCCCGACAGACTCTGCCCACAGCCTGTGGGCTTATTTAGGTGGAAAACATATTGGTGCCCTTTTGGGCAAAGTGGTGCAATGTAGCCATGCATGAGGCTTGACACAAGTCCTGAAGGCCCTGACGACACGGGCAGAGCCGTATCTCTGCCACGCTGGCGTCTGGAGAGGGTGCCCAGGCTGTGGTGGAAGCGGGTGCTGAGCACATCCCATCGGTTACAATGTCAGCACACTGCTTCCTCTGCACCCACGTTCTCTTGAGATGCTCTTTTTGGGTGCCATGGATAGGATGTGACAAAATGAGCTGAAAAAGTGACTAAAACCACGTGTTAAAGTTTCTCTCTTTAACATGTATTAGGCCCTGGATGAGGAAGGAGATGTCTCTATATGTCACCTGAGCTGCCTCCTGGATGGCTCGATGCAAGTCAAAGTTTGAACTTTCACGACTGAGCAACAGCAAGGGATAAAGGTGATCCAATGAAAAAAATACAAAACCAGCATGGTTGTCTAATCCTGCTTTCTCCCCTTTCACACTTCATTATAGAAAGCACATTTTTTTCCCTTTTTACCAGAGGTAAGCGCATCCATCTCCACAGCCATCCCTTTACCCACCGCCATCCCTCCTGCAGTGGCACACCACAGCCAGGGCAGTCCAGGAGAAGGAGAAGGGACAGGGTGAGCAGGCTGGCAGCTGAAGGCCAGCACGAACTGCAGCCACCAGTTAGCCCAGCCTGAATCCTCTGGACACCTGTCAGTAGCCATTTCATATATTGCTAAACTTGAACTATAAACTGACCTGACAGACCTTCAAATTATCAACTCTTACAGCTGTTTGATTACTTTGGAACCACTACTGATATGTGACATCAGCTCAAGGCCATGCCTGCCACTGTCTACATCAATCCAGCAAAGCTCTCTGCAGAAATATGTCAGAACAGACCCACAAGAGCCTCTCTCCAGAAATGGTTAATCAATAGCTTGCTAGGTTGACTGAATGCCATTAGATATAGTGGTGCACCTACAGTATATAAATCACGACCTGTCTTCTGTATCATTCTCAGCCACCTCTCCTGCCATTCTGGTAGTTACCAGCGTTCCACTTGGAAGTTTTTGGGCATCACCAGAAATGTCTGTAGCATCATGGATCTGGGGAACAGTGATCATACTCTGTTGTGGGGTTTGGTTTCTTCTAGGGAGGAGAAGGAGGTAAGAAATATATTTGTAAATCCATCCAAAAGTACTTAGCCTTTATTGCTGTCAAATATACTGTATACCTAACTAAAAGAAGTGTCATCTTAAAAGTGTCAGGTGGGCAGATGCACGACAGCGTGGGCAACGCTGCAGTTGGGTGTTTTGAGCGATCTGTGTTACAACAGAATTTTTCTATACAGGCTTTTTAATAATATTGAGGTAATGCCTAAACATAGCTATAGATAGAAATCTATGAATAAATGAGTTAATTAAATATGCACATTCTGATTTCCTAAAGTACTGGGCTATAGTTTTCCTGCATTGTTATCACAGCTAATACTTACTTATATCTAATTATAGTTTAATACCTACTTACAATCTCCTATTATCAGTCCATCCCATCTAGTAACACAGTTTAATGCAAATAGTATTTATGTACCTTACTATGCCAAATACATATTCGTTAAAAACATTTATCCTGTTGGCACATTTAGATAAGGGGCAAGTAGTTTGCTTACCTGTTGCAATTTTTTTTTTTTTTTTTTTCAGCAGTCATTTTCTTGTTTTACTTTAAAAAGTTTAATAAGAAGGTGAAAATAGTCAGATAATAATGATCATGAATTTATTAGAAAAGCTAAAGCATTATCTGAAATTTATTTTAGCAGCCATGGTGTCCTTAAGCAGGAAAGTAGATTTCTGCCTCAGAATAAAAAATATCATTTAAGCATGTGCTTCACTTTAAGCGTATGCTTAATTTACAGAATATGCTTAACTTAAAGCATGTACTTAATGACACTTTTCCTGGAAGACGAACTCTTATGCTTACTGAAGACCATGGCAAAATTCTCACTTTTTTCAGCTGGATTGGGTCCAAATGGGATATGCCCATAATAAAAAACCTTTCTACACTAAAAGATACTCCTCTTGGAATTCAAATTGAATTGTGGAGACCATTGCTCCAAAACGTATTATTCATTTAACCCAAAGCATTCCATTATTCTATAATCCTATGATTTATGGGACAACTGCATGTTAGCTAATGGCAATGATTCTGCACTCTAACAGGTGAAAAATATACTCCTGATCTAGGGGAAAGGAAGATGGCATGAACTGTGTTTTCTTACTATAATACATTCTGTTAAAGTTATTCTTCCTTACGTCCCATAGACCTCACAACAGGCTTAGCCTTTAAAGGGGAGAAAATTATTTGTCAATATACTGCTTGCTTGCTTGGTTGGGGGGGGTTTTGTTCTCATTTTTTCACACTCCAAAAGGCCTAGCATCAGTATTTTACTTACCTGGTAATCTTGGAGAAGAGACCTTTATACATACTTACCAATTCAGCTTTTGTTTGTGTTTTGTAGGCGACAAGGAGAGCCACCACTTGAAAATGGGTTCCTTCCCTACCTGGGCTGTGCCTTGCAGTTCGGCGCCAACCCCCTGGAATTCCTCAGAGAAAAGCAGAGGAAGCATGGCCACATCTTCACCTGCAGAATAGCAGGGAAATACATCCACTTCCTCACCGACCCCTTCTCCTACCACGCCTTGACACGCCAGGGGAAACACTTGGACTGGAAAAAGTTCCATTTTGCTACTTCTGCCAAGGTACCACTTTAAAAATGGTTTTAATATCTAATATGCAAAGTATCTACTGTCAGGACGGACATACCCAGTTAATCCCTAGAGCATAATTATGCCTTTGAAATAGAACTGGTTTCACATTTCTGCACTTTTATTGGTTTAAAACGTCGAGGTCTTTTTTTTTCCCCTTTCCTTAATGGAAAGGAACTTTGCAATGATTTGGATTGTCAAAAAATTATTTATGTCTTTTAATTCTTTAGCTGTGTAGTATCCCAATTTGCTAAAGCAGATATATAATTAACACCATCTGCAAAATTACAATAGACCTCGCTGCAGCTGAAACCTTTTTCAAGAGGCTATGGTTCACTGAGAAAGTATAAGTTCTAGTGTTAATAGTTCTTATTCTGCGTCCCTCTAGTAAACTTTGAATTTATAGTTTGGTTTTAATTTCTGTTAGACTTTGTCATCAAGGTTATGATAGGCCTTATTTATCATACATACAACTTATTTTTAACAGGCTTTTGGGCATGGTAGCATTGACCCAGCAGAGGGAAACACCACCGAAAATTTTCATCAGACTTTCATTAGAACCCTGCAAGGTAATGCCCTAGATGCCCTCATTGAAGCAATGATGGAAAACCTACAGTACGTCATGCTGCAGTCAAGAACATCTAAACGTCAGTGTCATACCTGGGTGACAGAAGGACTTTATACGTTCTGTTGCCAGGTGATGTTCGAGTCTGGCTTTTTAACACTTTTTGGCAAAGAATTTAATCCGAGTAATGACAAAAGTCTATCATCGAAGCAGGAAACTGAGCGAGCTCATATCCTGAATGCCCTTGAAAACTTCAAGGAATTCGATAGGATCTTTCCAGCCCTCGTGGCAGGGCTGCCTATCCACCTCTTCAAGAGTGCCCACAGTGCACGTGAGAAGCTGGGAGAGGCACTCCTCCACAAGAACCTCCTGAAGAGGGACAACCTCTCTGAGCTTGTCACCCTCCGCATGTTCCTGAACGACACTCTGTCCACCTTCGATGACATGGAAAAAGCAAAGACACACGTGGCAGTGCTCTGGGCCTCACAAGCCAACACCATTCCTGCCACTTTTTGGAGCCTGTTCTACCTTCTTAAGTAAGTCCCAACGCTTCTTGTTTCCAAACAAGAGGAATGTTTGTTACCTTTCAGAAACAGGTTAATTAATGCAGGCAAATTCCACTGCTTAATACCTCACCAGTGTCAGAAAGCTTAGTGATTACAACAGAAGTGGCATGTTGCTTTGGAATTCCACACAGAAACCCCCTTTACTGCTCTGAGACCAAGCAGTGGTACCACAGAGCAATTCTGTAGCAGGCTTTTTTATTAAAAATAAACCCCAACACTCCAGAGCAATGTTACACTTTGTCAAGAAAGCTTTGGAGTGAGTCTGTGAGATATGATATTAAAAATGCTTGTTGCAGTCAGAACACAAATTGCATTGAAGGCTCCCAATATAATCAGACGTTTTCAGACCATCTCACTAGAATAGGCACAGTGAGCCTTAACTTCATTATTATTTTCACAGATACTTAAGAGAAAATAGTTTATATGTCGATAGATCCTACTGAAGTTGCAGAGTAGACTGCAGCTGCCAAGACGGAGGAGTGCACAGTTCAGATAATACTATTAAATGTCCATTTTTAAAGGGCCTTTGTGGAATATAACCTATCTCAGCATGAGTAACTCTTTAATATGTATCTAATTTGCTGACATTTTTATTTAGGTAGTGGTTTACACCCTCATATCAACCTGCCAATTCAAACGTCTGGAGTTCTTTAGTACTTTTCACTCCAAGAATGCTTTGGCTTTAGGTGCTCTGGCTTTGGAGTCTTTTAACACCTAGATTGATTGTGCCTGTGTCAAGATACCATTGCATCCTGTATTATTATCTACAGATATTTAGTCATAGCTCATCTATTCTGTGTTTGTAAGAAAGTCCAGACAGTGAAGGATGCTATGTGGACTTTTAGTACTGGGAAGATTCTTTTCACCTAGACAGAATATTGCCCCATAGTAGGACATCATCCAGGATAAGTGACGTTATAAAACTGATCTATAATCCTGTTCCTAAACTTTCTGCCTGCAGTGGGGCTATTTCCTAATCTACAACTGATGGTTTATTTCTTTTCCTTGGCATTGCTTTTTAGTGACATTACTGTTTATTACCTGAGTGACGCACACCAGCTCTGTCCCACTTGGTATTGGAGACAGCATCAAATATTTGGGGTTCTTTTCCTTTGTTTTGAAGCTGTCATTCGTACCTGTGCCAAGACATGAAAAAAAAGAATGTAATTGCAGCATTTTTGCTGCAACATTTTCATTTTAGAAGGTTGTACTGGTCAGCTAACAAACTAACTTTTAGTCGGGAAGAGTGTTAGTGGCAATCCCCCTTTTAAAGCATTTTTAAGTGTAAAATTATGTTATACTTCTCTTTTAATCTTAGGAATCCAGAAGCAATGAAAGCTGCCACTAAAGAAGTGCAAAGTATTTTGGAAAGTGCTGGAGAGAAGATCAGCTTAGATGGCAAACATATTTCCTTGAGCCGAAAACAGCTGGATAATATGCCAGTACTAGGTATGAATATTTTACACAGAAGCACCAGAAATCACCCCACAACTTTCATAGTCTTCTATTTGCTACCATGTAAATGCTCACTGCAGAGTTACTACAGAATTAGCCAACAAATAGCAGAAAGAAACCCTGTATATTCCTTAGCTATACCCAATGCAGTCAGCCTTCCCAGTGACCCAAAGGGTGCTGAGTCTATCAAAATTCCCATGAACAGCACTTTTTGGTGGGTAATTGCATGTGTCACTACTGCTACACAGCAACATAACATAGTATTGGAGACCCGTGAATAATTCAGAACAGTATTTTGTTTAGTAATGATGTTAGGTAAAAAAAAAAAAAAAGTAAAAGGAGTGTTGTCAACTTTTATACCCCAGTTCTTATGATGTGAAGCAGTATCTCCTAATACCATTATTTTTATTTCTTCTTAATATTTTTCAAATTACAGGCACATTTTCAAAAGTGACCAAGTTGCAGAGCATTTTAAAAATGTCACCCTTTAGCTGCTATTGCTTTTTAAAAAGAAACAAAAAAAATCAGCTTGTCTTGAAACAAAAAAAAAAAACCCACATTACTTTTTCCAAGTTCTGCTTCCTATGCATCACCTCATAAAGTTTCAGAAAATCCCAGTCACTGCACAGTTTCTTTTTATTGTTGTTTCCACTTTTGACTGGCCTGTTCTTTTTCTCTGAGTGAAAATGTGTCTCACTTTCAAATATTCTGTTGCATTAACTCCAAGTATTTTTCTAGGGGAAAGCAGATTATGTTCTTGGTGTTATCTGCCAAAGGGATAATAATGCTAGAAAGAAATGAGGAAGATACTTTCTTAGGCATGCAGAAAGATATCGTTAAAATATTTCTTCTAATAAATACAGGTTTTTATAATGGGTCAGGGATAGTTCAAAATGCACGACCTCCCCCAAGGACAAAGGCATGCTATTGCCATGGTAATCCTTCTTTTTGCTCTCCTGACAGACAGCATCATCAAGGAGGCAATGAGGCTGTCGAGTGCATCCATGACTTTCCGAGTGGCCAAGGAGGATTTCACTCTGCACTTGGAGAACGACTTTTACAACATCCGCCGTGATGATGTTGTAGCTCTTTATCCTCAGCTGTTGCATTTTGATCCTGAAATCTATGCAGATCCCTTGGTAAGTATTTATCAAAGTGCATTCAACTCTCAAGCTCCATCAGAAACTAGCATGTCTTTAAATAGAGCATTTAGCAGGGCCAGACCTCATAGGTGGTATTCTGCTGTACTCCAGACGGTCTGTCCTTACACCTTGGGATGTAATGACAGGCAAGAAACAGGATAAAGTCAGCACAAGCCCTGTCTGCAAAACATGTTTTAGTTCAACCCAAAAGTGTGCTGCCAGCCCAAGATAGCCTTCTTCTTGCTGCCTTCCTCACTGAGGAAAGATCACCATTATGGGAGGGGTTGAGGGAGGACAGGGATAAGGATATTTTCCCACAGGCACAGAATGAGAAATCTTCTGGTTCTGCTGCATGGACAAGGATGCAGGTTATAATCCTTAGTTTAAAAGATCAGAAAAGAAAATGAGAGTTACCAGCAAGAACCTGGGAAGCAATCTACTTTAGTTGCAGATGTCTCTGCTCACTACAGGGGTGTTGGACCAGATGGCCTTTAAAGGTCCCTTCCAACCCAAGCCATTCAATGATTCTATGGTCACGTCCCACATACCAGAACTTTTCAAGTGCTACCATCTCCAAAACAGCACCATGGAACTTGGCTCTACTGTAGAATGCTTACTACTAGAGGCTTTTCTTCCCCAGCCTGCACTTTGTGTCTTAATGGCATTAGAGAATCACAGAATCATTAAGGTTGGAGGAAACCTCTAAGATCAAATCCAACCATCAACCCAGCCCTACTATGACAACTAAACTAGGCTTATCTAGTCTTTGGAGGTATTGAAAAGCCAAGTAACTCTTGTGGTTTTAATTACAGACGTTCAAGTACGATCGCTTTCTCAGTGAGAGTGGAGCAGAAAAGACTGACTTCTACCGCAACGGCCGCAAGCTGAAGTATTACTATATGCCATTTGGGACAGGCATAGCAAAATGTCCTGGAAGGTTATTTGCTGTCCATGAAATTAAACAATTTTTGGCTTTGGTTTTTTCGTATTTCGAGATAGAGCTGGTGGACAACAATGTGCAATGTCCCTCTTTAGATCAATCCCGTGCAGGACTGGGTATTTTGCAACCAGCTAATGACATTGATTTCAGGTATAGACTGAAATGCTTATGAATATATATTTATATTATGGATATGAACTATGTACCATTCAACATATACTTTATATGTATTTTTTAATGTTTACACACAAATTAAATGTTGCAATTCTTGGGGGGAAATCTATATGAAGATGCTAATTCATCAGACTAATGGAAAATGCGTGATGTATACCATTATGGCACCACCATGCAGTGGCTTTAATGCACTGTATGATACAAACGTTTCCCCTTTTACCAACCATTTTGAAATGCAAGTTAAGATTTTGAAGTGTGTGTGTACTGTAGTTTGTTTGGCTTTTTCCTGCCAGTTAATACTTTCCCAAAGTTAGTTAGAATTTCATCAGCTAATACAAAATAATAATTTTTAAAATCAGAAATTCAACTACGGTTGAATCTCATTCTTTTTTACAATTGAAATGTTTGGGGTGGTGCTTCTCCCCACAGGTGAAATAAAATTATTGATATTTAAAGACATATTCACAATGAAGAGGGGAGAGTTTCCTGGGAAAGTACCTTTATGGTTTTATGAAAAACTAGAAAAAGACTTTAATAAAACCTACAAAAATGTTCACGTTCTAGTGAAACTGCAAAATTTGTATTATATTCATTGTAATAACACTTCTTTTCTGAAAGTTATAACTGTATTAAAATAAATTATATTGGCTGAACCAAATATGTCTCTTGACTGTTTGTCAGTTTAATGTCTTAATGTTATCAAAGATTTATCATCCAAAGCCACCTATGCCACCCTTGAGCTAGCCAATATGGGGATAAATAAATAGCCACCATATATTCACCAGTGGTTCTAGCTGTATTTGGCACCATTGTCTAAACACCGTCCTTCCATAAGCCTCCACTGTTCATACTCCTTAGGTCTTCCTAGTCTAATTCCATTAAATTTATCATGGGTAGTAGGCCCACACATTTCATTTTCAGTGGTGGCATGTCTGTAGGAACTATTGTTCCGGTAATAATATAATTTGGCTCTCTGCAACATCCTTGTCCTTTTCTGCTGCAAATGATAGATGGATGTCACAAAAATGAAACATCTTCTAGCTGAAAGACATAGTTTTCTTACCATCTGCCAAGGAAAAGAAAAAAATGGACATTGTTGTTATCCTGGTTTTGTATGTTTCTAAGGACTTGTGGTCTGACTTTTTGTCCTTGACTCAAAAGTAAGCCTCAGCACAGAAGATGAGATACAGGACTATTAAGTATTTTTTGAATTTCAAATTCTGGCAAGACATCCAGTCCAGCTGACAGAGCTCTTCCTAAACATGGAATTTGGGATTGAGTCTAGAACTGCTTTAACTTATGTATCCATTTCTCTTCTCGCTATCCACTGTGCTAAATATTCAAAGGTAAATAAAAAGGTTCTGCAGTGTGTGATTATTACCTGTGTGTTCTCTTTGTAATTTTATTTAGTCTTTTTTGATGTTCAAAGGAGAACAGAGAACACCAATTCTTTGCCATTTGCAGTACATTCAATATTAAACTAATATGTATAATGCAAGTGGGTTTGAATAATTACTTTTGTTCTCTTAGTAAGAGAAATATTCAGTCTTCAGGTACAGCTTGTTTTTATATTTCTGTCAATTATATTTTTGTATGATTTATATAAAATAAAGTATATTCAACATAAGCTGCATTGACCCAGACAACTCTCCCTTTCTTAAACAAATCCTGCTTAAAACAACAGTTTTTGAGGGTAGCAAAGATAAGCAAAGTTTTAAGCAAAATACCCTTCCTCGATGAGAAGGAATTCAACATAGAATTACAACAGCAGATAACAAAAGATAAGAAGACTCCTCCTAAACTAATTTGAGGTTCCCTGGAAAATTAAGCTCTTCTCTCTAATATCATCCTTGGATATTAGGAAAAACTTCTTCACTGAAAGGGTCATCCAGCCCTGGGACAGGCTGCCCAGGGCAGTGGTTGAATCACCATCCCAGGATGTCACGTAGATGTGGTGCTGAGGGACACAGTTTAGCAGTGGACTTGGTAGAGTTAGGTTAATGGTTGGACTCTATGATCTTAAGGGGTTTTCCCAACCTAAATGATTCTATGATTTTAACAAACGACAGCAGAGGCAGGCACAAGGGTCCATATCCATCCCACCTAAGCCTAACATCTTAACTGCAGGGTCATGATAAATTGGCAGAAGCCAACACTGTGGCCAGACTGTACACAGGGGTCCCGTAGGGCTGGGTCAGGGTCCC